TGGTTTCTGAACATTTAAAGGAAGAACCATCACACATGAGAGTAATTGATTCATTAGCATGAACATCATCAGCCCATCAGCCTGTGCTCAGGACGCCCAACATAGCACCAAGGCAGGAAACTCTGACCACCTACTCTTTAGGCAATACACGTGCTCAGCTGGATGCCAGCTTGCGTGCAGCCTTACAACAATTACCCACCCAAAACAAGTACTAGTGCTAATTAAAAAGGGATTCGGGCAGTGGTGCACCATTACCCTGAATTCACACATTGGCAACTCACCCTCTGCCTGCCGCGATACAGACCCCCACCGCTGCAAGGGTGTCCTGGGACAGGGACTGCACACCCGCTGCCCCCAGACCACCGCAGCCACTTGCACCACAGCTCTCAGACCTCGCCAGCGTGTCCAAAGCAATCCCCACACCTCACCTCTCTCAGCCCCTCCACTCCACCTTGCCACAGCTGACCATAGTCAGGCACAGTCCTGCTGACTGCAGAGCCTATTTTAGATCCATCCATGCACCGTCATGTGTAATTTTTGCCAACAGACTATGGCAAAAACATTCCAGTTCTCTGCTTTCCTGCGACCCAAATTTATGGGAACAAAGTATCAAGGGTATAACAGCAAAGTTCCCCTCACTCCTGCCCTCACATACTCTGTGTCAGAAAAATACGGCCATGACATTCTATCAGAAACTCTCCCATGGTCTTCCTGGTCGTGCACACATGAAATTTCATCAGTGTGATTTTTATGGCTTTTAAGTTTAGACAACACGGAGAGTGATGCCAAGCACAGCAAACCTGCAATGCCTTTCCTCTCAAGGACAGCGTCCCCTTCAAAAATCACAAAGCCAGCACAAAAAGGGGAAGACAGATTTGAGGGCAGCCCGAGCAGGACTGCAAATGGACTCATCTGCAGGCAGTGTGTTTGCCATGCAGTTGTGTGTGCTCACGCTGAGGGCACAGCACCCCAGAAGACAGAGTGCTGTTCACCTCCGTGGTGAGAGGAGAAAGGGGAAGGCACAGGAAGCCCCCAGGGACACGCTGTGGGTCCAGGCAGGCCCCACTTACCCCACGCAGGGTGAAGCCTCGCTCTTTGCTCCGCACCAGGAGTCCTCAGGTCTGGACCCGCTTGCGCACAGGACTTGGCACTGTAGTCCTGCATCTCTCCTGAAAACAAGCATCTCTTGGCAGCTCTCCTGTGTGAGCGGCAGAAAACATTCGCTGTGGTATCTGTGCTGGACAGCAGGCCAACCTGCTGCTCTTGTCCTTTATAAGGATGCTGCACAGATTTGTTACTTACTGTTTAAAAGGCCTTCCCAAAACTATTTAGCTCTAAGCGTGTCATTATCCAGGTAGGCAGAGCAGCTGGAATAGGGACAAGGGAAAGATTTGTGGCCAAGATCAGCCACGGTGTATCCAGAGAAACCCTGGCATGCAGCAACAGTCCCAAGGGAATACAAAGGCCAGGACTGAGGGCTGCAAGGACAAGTTGCTGAGCACATTGCGCCTTGCACAGCTAGCAAGGCCCCAGCAGGACACTCCAGCCCACAGCCCAGGCTGGTGAGTGGGAGCAAGTGCCAGAAGTCATAGAGATGATTGGGTCTAATGGCTACAGGGGCCTCACGAGCCCCATTTCCAGAGGAAAGTTGCACTGTCGTGCAACACTGCACAGGGGAAAAAGCAGCACTGTGGAAATACGCAGGGATGAAAACTGGTGATGAAGTCCACAGGGGTTTGTAAGAACTCACTAATGTGTGTGATTAATTCTACTGCTGAAGATGTGCTGCCCATAGCTCCAGCCCCAGCCCTCTGATCACATGCTGGAAAAGGAAAAAGGAAAAAAAGAGTGCTGAGCTGTATGCGGGAAAATGTATTACTGACTGCCATAAACTTGCATTTGAAAGGAACTGCTGATCGTGAATAAATCCACCATATGGCTTTACAAAGCTGATAGTGCATTTATTTCCCAAATATAGCAAGATCAGCCTACGACAGCCTGTCTTTCTTTTATAATCCACATTAGAAAATTATTCAGAGTACAGTATCACACATGGTTGGTTGAGTTGTTGTCACACAGTCACCGGTGCATCCAAGGCTTTCCTGGCAAGAATGGGGCCTCATGTACAGCAATTACACCTGCACAGCTTCACCACACTATCATGACATCGAAGGGATTTGTGAGATGCTTTTGGTGACCTTGCTTTAGCAAAGCTGCCTGCAGAGGGGACAAATGCTAAACCTCAGACTATCGCTTTTGGGAATGCTTTCCCTGTCTCTACACATAGACTGGTGGCCCTTTGTGCACACTGCCCACCTGCGACATCCCAGTGTGGGCTCAGTGAGCACACAAGAACTGAGAGGTGATCACTGGGCATTCACCATCAGGTCTGCTGGCCCAGGACAGCAGCTGAACCACCTCGAGGCCTGGTCACAGTCCCTGAGCTGTGCCTGTGGTCTGTGCCGCACACAGCCCTTGGTGCTGGGGAAGCGGATCTGGCAATCCTACCGGCACATGGGCAAAGCTGTGTGTGGTAGGGACGATTTCCCTGATTTCTCTCACGGGGAGGCCACCCTGGCCGGGCTCACCACTCACCACCTGCTTTCCCCACAGTGCCTGAACTAACCCCACCTCAAGCCCACTGCAGGCACCCTGCTCGGAAACTCAGCCCAGCAGCTGCATCCCACCCCCCTGCTCCAAAGTGTTTCTATCTGCACAACCCTGAACTGCAATCGGGTCTCTTCAGAGAGGGAGGGATGACAGAAGGTACCTTTGTGCTGATTTAAGCACTAACTAAATATAGATGACACAGGAACACTGTGAGGCTACAGCTGAACCCATCCGCAGTGGATGAAATAGTCACATAACGGAAATATCTCTAGAGCCTTAGATGTGTGAGCTTAACTCAGCTCTTCCTATTGCTGGGGTGGTTTGATGTGCAGAACAGTGGGAAGCCCTGGCCCCAGGCAGCCCAGGAACTAGATTGGAGGTGGCTGGTCAGCAGGACCAGGAGCAGCAGCCCTGAACAGAAACCGTGGTCAAACTACTCCAGTGATAGGATGAAACTGTCACACTTGAAAGTATTTTTGATGAAAACACCTCATCAGTTTGTTAGTGGAGAATTAGACTCACAAACTGGTTTGGGTTGAAGGGACCTTAAAGCTCCTCCAGCTCCAACCCCTGCCACGGGCAGGGACCCCTTCCACTAGAGCAGCTTGCTCCAAGCCCCTGTGTCCAACCTGGCCTTGAGCATTGCCAGGGATGGGGCAGCCACAGCTTCTCTGGGCACCCTGTGCCAGCGCCTCAGCACCCTCACAGGGAAGAGCTTCTGCCTAAGAGCTCATCTCCATCTCCTCTCTGGCAGGTTAAAGCCATTCCCCTTGGCCTGTCACTACAAGGAAGCCGCTCCAGCTGCCATGGCCGTTCCCCAGTCCCGTTCCCCTCGGGGCCGGGTGGTGACGGTGTCGGTGTCCCGCGAATGAGGCGGCGAGAGGAGGAGCCGGAGCGGCCGCTGCCACGTCCCGCGGGGCTCAGAGGGCGGCGGGAGGACCCCTGCACCGGTAAGGCCGCCGCCGGACCCTCACACCGGCACCGAGCGGGGCAGGCGCGACTCCAGCCTGGCCCGAGGGGCTCTGCCGGGACTGGCACCGGCGCGGCCGGAGGAGGCGCGGGCCCGTTTCCCATTCTCCTTTTCAGAAACGACTCGAGATGGGCCCCGCCGAGCCGCGAGCGCCCCGCTCCGCAGCACTCCCGGCTCCGGTGCGCTGCCGCCGGCATCCCGAATGCAGGGAGAAGCCGAGGAGCGCGGCCGCTGGTGTCCCAAGTGCCTGCGCTGCGAGCGGCCCAAAGGTCGCAGCGTGACCCCTCCCGGGGCTGGGAGACTGCAAGCTGAGCTCCAACGGAAAAGTCGCATCTGTCATAGCGGCTCCTTCGCGTCTTCCCCCGTGAGCGCGCCCCCAGAGCATCACCGTCCAGACAGAAACCGAGGACCTGTGTTCTGGGGCCAAAGAAATACACTGGAAGAGTGCAACTGTAAGAAGAGATCTCTGTATGCACCAGCTGGAACAGCTGGGCAGGGCTCTGCAGTATGCCTCCTCCACAAATGAAGGGAAATGGAGGTAACAGAAACAAAGCCGTAAGTTCCCTGGGAGGAGAAATAGCGTCACATACCGTGATCCATCATGCCTAACATTTTGGATAGGGAATTCACCTCTTTTCCCCCTGAGCAACAGTCCGTTTCTCCATGGCACACAAAGTTTACTGTCATGGAAAGGACAGACCAGGCAGCTGGATTCCTGCATGAGATGCAAGTCCTGATTAATGTAAGAACTGAGATGAGAGCAAGCCTGATGTTCTCTAAAAGGCAAGGGCTGGTGTAGCATTCAGACAGAGAAATTAAAGAACAGCTAAATCAGGAAACGCAATTATTGCAGAGAGCTCAATCTTAACTCAGTGCTCTCCTCCATCAGCCCTAAACTAATGGCCTCTCTTCACATAATTATAGACTGTTACACCAAGCCATATTTGCATAGTTACACAATCTTGCTGTACCTCTAATGCACATACCATTCTGTAGTATTAAAGCTGCTTCAAATTTAATTTATGTGGGTTTACTCCAGGGCAATTCAGGACCTCAGTGAAGCTCACAGCTGCTGGAAGTGGAGCAGAGCTCGCTGCTGCTCACCCAGCTCCCCGCAGACTCGTGTCCAGCACAGCCACAGCCGTGGGCACCACACTGGGACGGGTCTGACAGCCACGGGTCGCCCTGGCATGCCCTCAGGATAACTCAGCAGGCTCTGCCCTCTCTCTGGGATGATGGGGATGGGGACAAAGGCTTTCTGTACCAGGGCAAAGTGGAGCTGCACTACGGGCTGGTGCCCATCCTCACCAACAGGCACTGCCCTGTGCTTTTGCTGCAGCTGCAGCTCAGGCAGAGCCCCCGGGCATGGGTGCTGGCCGTTCTTCACAGGCCTTGAAAGACACATTCATCTTCAAACGCATAATATTTACACCAATGATTATTTAAGATCTATTTATTAACGTGCCTTCCATCCTGTGTCCTCTGCCCAGCACTGCAGCTGCTCTGCGCTCATGCAGCTCCCAGGGCGGCTGCTCAAACAGCCAGAAAAATCTAGAAGTTACTGAAAATGATTTCAAGTTGTTGTCCTATCAAATTAACAATGCAGTTAAAGATCTCCTAAGAACAACAGCAGGTTTTAAGGGGAGGATATAATGATCACTCATCACCCATGAAACCTGCAGAACAGGGGACGTTTCAAACCCCGCCCAGAAAATGGCACAAAAATACATTTCTGTTCGAATTCTGGATGAAAAATGTATGCATGACTCAAAGTCTGGCAATCGTATGACCTGAGAGAACTCGCTTCCTATCTTTGTGCTTGCTTCCTCATCTGCAGGAAAGAGGATTCTTGTCTTAATTCAAAGGCTTTTTCCCCTGAAGGTTACCTAGCTGAGTATCCTTTAAGAGAAATTTTCAAAGGAAGAATTCCAGAGTTAGGACAAGTTATTGACTCGGTTAATTTTATCTACTTAGAACTTCGGGGAAAATAAAATTAAACCAAAACCTCCATACTGTCTGCTTGGACTAAAACAGCAGCCACAGGAGATGTAATAATTTAGCCTCAAACATCATCCTCTGCCCAGTCCCTCCAGCCTGACCCCTCCCACTCCACATCTTCAGCCTTAGGACATTCCAGGTCACGGCATCAGGAGTCATGGTAGGTGCTCCCCATGGAGTTTCTCTTCACTACAGACACACTGTGGGCAGAGACTAGAGCCAGTCCTCTCCAAACCAGCCACAGCACACATCCCTGCTGCATCCAGATGGATCTTCCCGTGGCTTATGGGTGCGGCTGGCAGATCCATCCATGCACAGACACAGACCACATGAACATGTCTGTAGAAAGCTGCGTGTCAGGAAAGGGTTTCCTTCATTAGCTAGCTCTGGGTAGGGCACAAGGAATATTGCTGCGGTTCCATGTAGGGGAGGAGCAGCGATATGAAATTTTGATCTCACGTAGCTGGTTGCACGGCTGCAGATGATTCACAAAGCTGACTGACAGCAAACACGCAGGCACCGCCGGGCGCTGTGCACCAGAACGGAGCCCTTCCTGCTGGAGAAGTGCCCTGAAGGGAAGGAACCTCAGCCAACACAGACCCGGTTCTCCGACTTCCTATACAGAGGATAGAGTTCAGACGCTGCTGAGAACACTTGGGTTTTCCCAAATACCGCAGAGCTCTTTTTGCCAAGACCTGGGAAAAGGCTTGACGGAAGGAGGGAAAAGGCGCCGGGAACCAAAAGCAGGCAGCGCTGCACACGACGGTTTCATTTTATCGGGAGCAGGCAGATGAACCGAAGGCCACATTTACACCCGACAAACGCGCAGCACCACAACCGGAACGTCCCCCTCCCCGTCCTCCTGCTCGCCCCTTGCGCGGGGCCGGCAGCGACCCCTGGGGCACTCTCCGGACATAACGGAGCCGCTCCCCGCAGCGCAGCCCCCTCGCCCCCCATCCCGACCAGCGGCCCGTTACCGCCGGTCCCTCTGCGCGCTGCCCGTACCTTCCGAGTGGCAGCTGGAGGAGAGGACGGCGCCGGGCGGCCGGAAGAGGTACGGCATGTACCGGGAGAAGCATTTCATCTTCCGAACCGCGAGTGGGGAAGGAGGAAACAAGCCCATACAGAGACCGAGGAGCGCGCAAACCGCCAGAGAAACCCTGCAGGGCAGGAACGCAGCCGCTGCTCAGCCCATGCGGACCCCCGAGGCCCGGGCAGCCTACACTGCGGGGACCCTCTGCGGAGAGCCGCCCGGGCGGACCCCACGCACCCGGCCCGGCGGCTGAGCCGAGCGCTCCGGCCCGGCCGGCCCCGCCGCATCGGCAGAGGTGCGGCCGGTAGCGCTGACTCAGCCCGTCCTGCTCGCGCGCACCCCGCACCGCGCCCCCCAGCACCGGGGGCTCGGCCGCCGTGAGGCGCGGGGGGCGGCAGCGGGAGGGAGATGCCCCGAGGACAGGAGGGCCGGGCCCGCGGTAAAGCCGCTTTCCTCCCCGAGCGCGCCCCACAGCTCCGGCACCGCGGGACCCGCGGGGGCCGCTGCTCCTCAACTGGGCGCCGGATCCAAGGGCCCGGCCGGGGAACAGAGTAAACCACGGGGACGGGGACGCCTGCGCCACGACACGCACATCCAACCGCGACGGGAAAACACTTTCTGCTATGGCACGGCCCCTTCGAGGCAGTGCTCCGGACTCGGGCCCCTCAGCACCCATCTGAGCCGGCAGCACTGACGCGGGTCAGTGTTTTTCGAGGCGGAAACCTCTTGCATCTGAGCACACTCCACGGTCTGTCACGGCCTGCTCAGGGGCACAGGATACCAAAAAAGCACAGCCTCAAGGGGGCAAGTGGGAGGGAAACAACGCCCTGCTAACACTCACCCCTTTGTTGTCGGGCTCCTTAATTACAGATAAGTTTTGGACCTAGGACCAAGCCACTCACGGCTCTTGCCTGCCGCTGTTGCCTCATGTGGAACCCCGGGTGGTTTTGTTGTTGGGTCTCATCGTCTAGCTACAGTCTTTCTATTCGTACTGCCTTTGGCAGGTGGCAGCACGACTGCATTTATACCCCTTAAAGAAATGCAGAGCACCTGTGCCAGCAGAGAGACATTCTGTTTCACTGCAGTATCTTTCTCTTTACTCAAAATGCCTTCTCTGGATGTGGAAAACCAACCAGGTCTAAGCTGCGAGCTATGCAAAGTTGTTCTGCCTAGAGGTGACAGCTCACTCTGCAACACACAGAGTGAATGAGGAAGATAAGTGCTATTGGGTATCTCAGGTCCATGCCAGGAAACAAGAGACAGTTTTTCATAAAGCAATTTTCATGGCAAGTCACTTTATGTGTTCGTGTATGACTTAACAATGAGATTATTTAATACACTGTCTGGAAATATGAGCATCTGTCTCTGAAGTCACAACCTCCCCTTTCTCTGCATCCAGTTTACTCTCTGCCCGCGCAGGTGTGTACTGTGAGAACAGGGCAGCGCACACCGTGGTACACAGGGATGGAACCTCCAGCACCGCTGCTGTGCCACCGACACAATCACCCACCACGCACAGCCCAACCTGCTCCTTCCCCAGGTATGTGCATCCACCACCCCTCTGGGCAACTTGTGCCAGGGTTTTACCACACCCACTGTACAAAATGTAAAACTATTGCCTCTACTGGGAGGGTTAAGAGAAGAGGGATGGGATCAAGGCTTCAGTTATCCTTGAAGGATAAAGAAATGGGAATAAAATATGAAATGGAAAGGGAAAAGAGCTAATGTATTAATGGGCAATACAATAAGAGAAAGGAAGACAAAAATGTGAAATGAGAATAAGAAAATGTAGGAAAATGCCTGGTAAGACTTTCAAACCAGAACAATCTTACAAAGAAGTTGAATGCATGAATTTAAAGTCAGGAAAACTGAATGCTTTTAGTTCTTTTCAATTGTCCGTGATTTTGCAGTCCACATCTTGGCTAAATGCCAAACAGATGCACTTGCAGAGGAAGAAGTGCCTAAGTGAGTGAGGAGCACAAACCACCCTGAAAGCTACTGAGCATGGAAGGGGATGTCTTTGTGCTCCCAAATCCCACAACTGCCCACATCAGTCCATCCCATACAGATTCTTGTCTGTAGAATTGTATGTTCTGCAATTTATTTTAACTCCAGATAGAAGGACAAGCACCAAGATACACTTAAGTTACCCAGAAACAGAATCCAACTGATTCCAGTCATAGATATCATAATGGGAGAAGCTGTCTCATAATTCCCTGAAAAATTCTGTAAATAGCTGAAAACCAAAAGGAAATCTATTTCAAAGACTGTAGATGTGATTAAGCCATAATGCTTAATCTAGCTCATTTTAGAGACCCATCTCTTTCAAACACAGAAGCACATAATGAAGGCAGAACAGGAGGAGTGTAACTTTGCCAGCAGTTCTCACCAACATGCGACCCCCCCCCCCCCCCGCACACTGACTGGGCAAAACGTACATCATGATCGAGTCCCTGCTGATTGCAGCAACAAAAGGAAAAACAGACTTACCTTCTGCCACCCCAATATCTATAGTTCCTTTTACTTGACTAAAGCACCACAGCACGTCCTGCATGAAGTTTCCAAGTCCTGCCAGGGAAACACATGCAGAAAGGAGATAAGACATGGTCACACTGGGATATAGTTTGTCCTTTTTAAAATGAACACACACACACGCATACAAACTGGCACACAAATGTCTGCGATCCCTGCATGAAGGTACATGTTTGCTCACCTGGTACCATTCTTCCACACGAAGTGCAAAGCTAGCCCTGCAGAGCTGGAGGCATCGTGCCTGTGCTGTGAATCACGCCTCTGTTTTCTCTGTACCATGGCAGGGCTAATTCAAAACCGGTGCAATTGGAGCCCGTCCCCTCTACATCACTGGCAACACCACAGAGGAGTCAGGAGGCCTCTTAGTCACAGCCTTTGTCACAGCCTCCCTTCACCAGAATACTAATGCTCCCTTCATTCCCAGCACTGTTAGAGAAAGAGGGAAACTGAAAAAGGGAGCTACTCCTAATACCACAACAATATTTCTTCCAGTCATGGTGTAGTGGGAACTCCTTGGCAATGAACCCAGGCAGAATGAAGCCTCTTTACAGGACATCCTAATATTGTAATAAAATTTCATCTGGAATGAGACATGCATGGTAGTTGCTTTAAAAGAATGCTATGGGCATTTCTATTGTAAACCCAACTATTAAGCTGTGGCTCTCAGCTCTACTTGCTGCTGTACCAATACTCTGTGTTAAGCCTCTCTGAGAGAAATCAGGATTTTATCTACTGCTGCTCCTCATTTTCTTGACAGCTCAGCAGAATTTCGCTTTCTATAATACAGTTTTCACTGCAGCACAAACCCCCCCCAGCACCTCAAAGGACAACTTGCTTCCTTCTATCCTAACACACGTTTTAACTAAAAGCAATTTCCACACCTGAAGAAAGCAGCACAGTGGGGCTGTGAGGACAGGAGATGTCAGCTTACCCCAGTCGCACCCAGGTGGAACATGGCACAGAAAATTTGTTACACAGTCAGCAAATGTGACATGGGACTCAGTGAGGGGGTCGTGCCATGGGAGACTCAAACTTGTTACTTCCCTGTGAAGAAAACGAAAACATGGGACTGGGAGGTAATGGATAGCTGGAGATACAACTGAGTTAACTGGACTGTATCATGGCCTACCCAAATGTCTTTGTGAGATTTCTGCCTGGTTTTATTTAAATCATTATAAGCTTTTGTGTATTAATACAAGTCAATACGTACCATATGTATTAAAAGTAATATAATCATATAAGGAGGAAGTTCTTCCCTGTGAGGGTGGTGAGGCACTGGCACAGGTTGCCCAGGGAAGCTTGAACATATCCTTGGCTGAGTTCAAGGCCTGTGGGACTATAAAACAGGGTTAAATTCTGTGTGCTCTTTGAGAAGAGACCTGGGGAGAGGGAGCAGCCTCCATATACCTTTTATTTCTCTTATTGCTCCTTATTTCTCCCCTTCCCACTCCAGATATGGCTCTGAAGATGTCTTCAGTGCATTTGTAGCTGTGAGTGCAATAATATGTAGAGATAACTGAGCTGGAAGACAGATGAGGTTGATAGAAGCTGATACACCCTGTTCTTTGCATGGATTTTGCAGCTGATTTTGCATAAGTATCAATACCTCATAGTGCCAGTTTAAAATTGCAGTTACCAGCACAGGATAGAGACTGTTGTGCAAGGGGGATCTTGTTATTGAAGGGGAATCAGAAACCTGTGTCTCAAGCTTGCTCTTCAGTGTTCTTTCTAGTCCACTACTCCAGAGGTCAGAACAAGTTGATAGTAGGTTGAGGAGAATGAAGAGATGTGGGGATAACAAAAGGAGCCTTGTGCTAATATTTGGGGAAAACTGAAGCCTTTAGAGCTGTCACCTTTTAGTCCTGCAGCCAGCAAGAAAAGCATGGTGAGTTTTACTGTTAGCACAGAACCCTCCAACAGCTGCTGCTGGCAAAGCTCAGGCTAATGAAATACATTCCATCTATGAAATACTGGTTTGTGTTCAGTGAGCATGTCAGCAAAAGACAAATGGGTACATGGAGAGCTGGTACTTTGTATGTTATAGAGAGACAGGGACAAGGACACTGTTGCCAGTGGATTTGTGCAAAATGTCATGATTTTACAGTCTCTTTACCAGGAGCAGTATTATAGAAGGAATATGGAGCTTCAGTTAATCTTACATTGATATACACAGCATTCTTCTGTGTAGAGCAAGCCCTCCCCCTGGACACCCCCCTCTAGCAGACTTCACCTTCCGTGATGACTCTGGACGGGGGATGCTCTCGCCTGTTCGCCCTGCAGAGGGGAGCATCAGCCCGCAGTGACCCGCTGTGGCTGACGGCAGAATTGCTGTCCCCGGGCAGCGGCAGGAAAGCGCTGGGGACACTACATGAAGCAGAGTAAAATATTCAACATACCACTTTAATCTCGATTAAACATGTATACCGATACCTACGCTTTTAGATGTATATCAACACCAGAGCTTTTGAACAAGCATCCACCTGCAATGTATACAAGATATCTCCAATTCAGTCAAAGTTTCACCTGTGTGAAAGGGAGCCCACCTAAACCATAAGACATGTCAGCAATGGATATTAAATCTAACACATGGAAGACATACCATAATGTTAAAGTTCACCAGCGGGTTACAGCTGAAATGGCTGCTGAGTATAACTGCACTTCTTTTAGGGCTTAAGGTTCTGGGAAATTTATACTGTAGATATGTTTAAACTTCCCTATTTTTGTAAGCTGATGCTAGAAATCAGTTTGGTACTTTCAACAAAAATATAGTTGGCTGAATAGTTAAAACTGTGAAAGAATAAAAGAGAAGAAACCTTTCTTGAATGTCTGAATTCAGTGGCAGCAACTAGGTGCTTCGCTCCCACTGCCCTTCGCAGAGCCGGAGGGTTTGCTCTATGCGCACAGGCTGGGTAGGAGCAAAGGATTTCAGTGTGTCAGTGGAGGGCGTTTGGTTTGTCGCAGAGTCACCTAGAGAGGGCTGAGCCTTGCCTCATCTCCATTAGAAGGCTCCAGAGATCTGCCGTGGTGCTCCCGTGTCAGCCGCGGGAGGCTGACGGTGGCTGGTCCCCACGACAGTGCCGTGGGGAGGCCGAGGTTCTGCTCAGCATGTTTCGGTGCAGCCACAGCCCCACAGCTCCACAGCTCCACAGTGAACGCTGCGGCACCACGGAACGTCCCTTCTGCTTCCCAGCGCTATGTCACCAGGAGCTCACCTCCAACTGATGCCCAGAGGTGTCCCTGTGTGGTGGGAGCCTGGGGTGGGACAGGGCATCTGCTGCTGTGGCATGCCTGAGTCCTGATCTCCTCTTGGTCTTGCTGCTCTCAGGTCTGCCTGCTAGGAAGTGGTGGTTTTGTTGTAAGAAACCTAAGGAAAATCTATGTAAATGACTCTGATGTAAGCTCTAACAAACATTTTGGACAGGTAGCTCATAGGTACACATGGGCCAGGTGGCATCCTTCCCTCTCTGGCAGGTAGTTGCCTGGATACAGATACGACAGATATGACAGTTCTGCATGCCGTGTGTTACATATAATAGGAAATTTCCTGCATTTTCCCTAAGTTCCAAAGTCGGACGAGCGGGTGCCGGTAGCAGTGAAGGAGGGTTGTGAGTACAATGCAGGTAGCAGAGAAGAAAACTGCAGTTTGCTATTCCCTGTACACAGCGCCCTTGTTCTGTGCCGTGGATTGGTGCCATGTTACACTGGTAAGCTCAGTAAATGGGTGTCTGCTTTTGGGACAAATTTTCATTTTCTGTTCCCACTGAAAAACTTCCAATCTCGGGAAGTGCCTCCTGGTTCCGAGCTGGCTGACTGGGGAAACTCCATTTCTTAAGAGAACTGAGGGCAAAGCTTTACTGGCTTTTTTTATTGTTTCGATTGCAGGCCAGGCAAAGCCCCAGCTGAGGACTCGAGCCTTTGTCTGCTATAGAAAATGAATCCCGGCCAGTTCCCAGCCAGTTCTGAGCTGACCAGCGTTTTCCCATTTCCCAGCAGTGCCAGCTGGGCTGGAGCTGGTCGGAGCAGAGGCTGGCTGTTCCCCAGAAGCTGTTGCAGCAGAGCTGCCTTCTGCTGTTCCCTTGGCCTGCTCTGGAATTCAGCTTTACTATTTTATCTCTGCCAACGTACAGGGATACTGAAGCTCTCCAGATGACTCCCCCTGCAGAGAACAACCTTTTCACTTCTGAAGCCAGTAACTGTCCTGGTCTTGTCTTGGGTTCTGCTTTTTGTTGGAAATAAAATCTTAAGATCAATGTTTAGAAAAGATTTCTAACAATTTAAGGCAAAATCAAAATCAAATTTCATTTCAATTGCTGCTGTGAGACATCAGATAGGAAGGATCCTCATTGCAGCAAATTTCAGTCCATTCAGGAGACACTGTTTTGAACATGCAGAATAGCGCAGGGGGATGCTCCGAGAGGTGAAGTCTGACCTTGGGCAGGGAAGGGAGGCTTCAGCATCTCTGGTGCTGGAGTAAATCATTAAACATTCCCTGCAGCAGGAACTTATTATCCTGCCCACCAGAGATGCTTTCATTTCAGCCACTTTGTTGTTTTGTGTCTGTGCAGTAGATGTTAGATCCCCACCTGTGTTGTAGGGGTGAGCAGTGGAGGCAGGAGCTGACCAGCCTCAGGGCCCTGCAAGGTTCTCACAGTGGGGCTGGTGAGGACACATCCCCTGGTCCAACTCTGCAGTGACTCCAGCTTTCTTCTCCTCCTGTAACCCATGTGTTTAATTTTCAGACAATTTGATTTGCTGCATTTGACTAAAATTTGAGAGTTTCAAGGGGACCTGAGCTGTGCTTCAGCTTGTTGGTTCTTCTCCAAGTAACATGTGAATATGGCTAAAATTGGATAATTACTCTGACTTGTAGCTGCCCTGGGGCAAGGACTGCTCTCCCTCCGAGCCCTAGGAACCTGAGCCTGCTCTGAGCACTCAAGAATGAGAGGAAAAGCTGATACCCAAAGGGTATAGACAGTGGGATGGGAAATCTGCCTTGCTCTGGTGAGACCCCCACTGCAGTCTTGCATCCAGCTCTGGGGAAGCAAAACAAGAGGGATGTGGAGCTGTTCAATGAGTAGTGCGGAGAAGGCCACAGAGATTCTGCGAGGGCTGGAGCAGCTCTGCTCTGGAGTCAGGCTGAGAGAGCTGGGCTGGGTCAGCTGGAGAAGAGAAGGCTCTGGGCAGACCTTAGGGCAGCTCCAGTGCCCAAAAGGGCTGCAGGAAATCTGGAGAGGGGCTTGGGACAAGGGCTTGCAGGGACAGGCCAAGGGGAATGGCTTTAACCTGCCCGAGGGGAGATTGAGATGAGCAGAAGCTCATGCTCTTAGGCAGAAGCTCTTCCCTGTAAGGGTGCTGAGGCGCTGGCACAGGGTGCCCAGAGAAGCTGTGGCTGCCCCATCCCTGGCAGTGTTCAAGGCCAGGTTGGACACAGGGGCTTGGAGCAAGCTGCTCTAGGGGCAGGTGTCCCTGCCTGTGGCAGGGGTTGGAGCTGGAGGAGCTTTAAGGTTCCTTCAACGCAAACCAGTTTGTATTCTGTGAATTCGGGTGTCTGTCCTTTTACAGGACCCATTCAAATAGGAATGGAGGAGATGGCGCTTCCTGGGTCTCAGCCCTGCACATAGCAGAGTAACTTGAGCTGTGCTCAGCCGGGACCCGGCGTTGAGCCTGGTGTGAGCTGCCCCGCCCCGCAGTGCCCCCACCGGCTGGAGGGGGAGAGCTCCGCACCCCGCGGCCTGAGCCCCCCTGAAGGGGAGCCTCCTCTCTCCGGGGCAGGCTGCACCGGGGCGAGGGGAGCCTCAGCGCCCTCCCTTGTCACCGCAGTAAAAGCCGATCGCCCGGTACCGCTAAGCAGAAGGAGCCCGGGCGGGCCGGCAGCAGCGGCGCTGTTCGGGAGCGCGTCTCCTGGCGGGTTTCCTCGCACCGAGCAGGGGTGACCGGCACAGATCGTCCTGCCCCGGCCCGGGCGCGGCTGACGGGTGCCGGAGCAGGGGCTCGGGCTCGGTGTCGCAGGCTCCTCCCGCCGCGGGCGGGGACCCTGCAGGCGCTCCGCTCCGCTCCTCCGGTTGCCGCCGCCCTGCCCAGGCTGTGGTCGGTCCTGCCGCGGCCCCTCCGGGCGGCTCCGCTCCCTCCGAGGTAGGTGCCTCCCTCGGCCGTGCTCAGCCGCGCTCCGGGGGGGTCTCAGCGCTCGGTGTCAGCCGCGGTAGGAGCGCAGGGTCCCGCGGACGGGCTCCGGGAGAACGCGAACAAAGGCGGCACCGGCGGTATCAGCTCCCGGCCGTGCCGGTGGCTGCGGGAGAGTTCAGTCACCTGCGGTTTCTCCGGGACAGAAGCGATAGGAGAGCGCTCTGTATTGCTCTTACTGCCTGGTCCCGGTTGTTCAGCAGCACCCCCCGCCCTGAGCAGCGCTTAAGCAATAATGAGGTGTAAGAGAAACTATTTGCGACCCCCTCTGAGCTGCGGTCCCCTTCCGAGAAAGCGCGGTAGTGGCCCGTCAGTGGTAACTCTAACCCTGCTCGCCTCGCGTGTGAAGGTCTGACCCTTACCTCAGTGCTGCTGAGCACTTTTCCCTGTCGGAGAGCACAGTCTGCTCATAAAGCCCTGGCGCTGGCACTCAGGTGGGCACATGTCCTGCCTTCTCCAGGAAGCAGCAGCATAACGTTGCCCAGCTCTGCTGGGAGTGACCCCTGGGAATCGCCATCAAGGAGTCATTTTGCTTTGCAGGAGGTGACCCAAGAGTGGTGGAGAGAGCTGAGCCTGGGCTGAGCACATCATGGGAGCAAACACCTCCCGCAAGTCACCCCCCTTAGATGAAAACACAGATGGTAAGAGCTCTTCCCAGTCGTTGTCTTGGACTGCAGAGTCCACCAATGCAGAGATGGTGACTCTGAGAGCTGCCCCCAGCTCCTGTGACAGAGTTGCAAACACCCAGAGGTTTTGGTTAACCAGAGGAATACCAGTGTCTGCTGCAGCAGCATGTCCTTGGTCGCCTGCAGAGCTGTGGTCCAGTGTCAGGTGGTCCTTTTGCTTCCTCTCTGTGCAGCTGGGCACTGGGAGAACGTTGTCAGAAGTTTGGTTTTGAGATGTCTCAGGGATGCTGGTGGTGCGTTGAAGGCAGTGAGGAAATGCTGTGCTTGTGGAGGTGGGGGAGGTTTGTTCTGGAGACCAAGCACAAAGAGGACGAGTTTGAAGTGTGATGGGAAGATAGCTTCAGCAATGCATGTTCCTGTCCCTGCTTTGGGCTTGGTGGGAGGGACACAGAGAAGGACCTGGTCAGCAGAGGTGGAGGCTCCCAGTGGCTGCCCTGCTGGGCAGCTCTACCCACTGGCACTTGAAGACCAGAATGAGGGCTTGGTTGGCTGGAAAAGGAGAATAAATTGCTGAAGAGCAGTGTTCAAGGCCAGTGTCACTGTGCTGCCAAGTGTATAGTCAGTCATTAAAAGATTGTTCCATAAATGTATTTTCTGTTGCATGACTCAGCTTGCTCACTGCCATATGCGTTTTCACCTGGGGCAGTAAATCTTCTCAGGCCAGTGATTTCTTATGAAAGCCAGTTCTGTGCTTGAAAGGGGCTTGGTTTCTGCAAACAAAACTTGGCAGCACATGAAGCCCTTGTGAGCCCTGTGGCAAAGGGCACTGGGCTTCCCAAGTGTGAAATGCTGTGCCCCATGATCAGTGTGTTTGTGTCTTGCTGGGAAGTCAAGGGAAGGACCTGGTCCAGACCATCTCAAGTAGTTCAATGTTGAGCTGTTGAGTTTCAGTGAGCTCAGAGGTCACCCTTGCACTCAGTTGCAGTGTCCAGTCTGGTGCAGTTGTGCTTTCATGGCCCTTAAAAAGTGGTGGCATGTTTTTTCTCTAATTAGTTGTACTTTAATATATGGGGGGAGAGAGAAACCCAACTGAAATGGAGAGGTCCCCTATTCACTTTTCTGTTTTCTTGGCAAAGAAACGGTCTCTCAGACCAGAGACTGCATCACCTTCCATGTCACAATCTTGTCATTCAGTTAAGAGCTGCTGGGTACAGCCAGAAGCAGGACAGCAGCTCCTCTGCTCCATGACACTGTGGGGTCACTTCCCCAGCTGAGGCTGGTGGGGAGCAGCTCCACCTCTTCAGCTGTGTCATGGAGAGGCTTTTCCTTTGGAACCTACGTAGGTGTCAACAGCAACAGCCTGAGTGATGTCAGTGCTCCGGTGCACAGCTCAAATCCCACCTCTGCCGGGCTCATGAGCATTTTGCCATTCCACCCAGGCATTGGGTCTGCCTCTCAGAGAACTGTGCTTGAACCCCCCCAACAAAACAGCTTGTAGAATACTCAGGCAGTTGCAACGAGGCGAAGCTTTTTGCAAAACAGGGTCGTGAAGGGGCTGACCTGAGAGTGGAAACATCTGGATTTATATTGAGCTGAGTGGACCACTTTATGCTGCGCAGAGACAGGCACAGAACAGGGCCTGTGCTCGCTCGTTGTCCTTTGGCTCTCACACAGACACGATGCCTCCTGCAGGTTTTTCCAAATCGCTGTTGCTGTAATTTGACTGTTTTCTGTGTACCATAAGTTTCATTTGTCAGGTGACACCCCCCCCCCCCCCCCCCCCCGTGTGGCTCAGTTTGCCTTTGGCTGAAGCAGGATGACAGTAGTATTTTTCTCTTAGTGTTTCCTCCAAGTAGGCACAGTTGTGCATAATAAGCTCATGAGATGAAAAGAAAATATAATGAACAGAAGGTTCAGTGCTCCAAGGCGATCTCAGCTCCTGATGCAGCCAGGATGAACCCATGTTAAAACTGGATTTTGTTTGTGCTGCTTCTGGGCACAAGGGTGTGGAAAGCATCCTGGGGGATGGCAGACAGATATCCTCCCCAGCTGGCCAGATCTGTTGGAAGAAGCAGAAATAAGTAGTAGGTGAGGGCAGTGGCAGGGTGAGATGGACATATATCATTCTGTGGCCTTTTGCCGATGTCCTCTCCAGCCCACCATCAGCTGCTCTGCCTTTACATTGCTCTGGGACTGAGAAGTGCATTAGATCTGTCTTTGTTTCTTCGCCTGGATCTGCATCACGTTCAGGTCCCCCACACGGAGGGACTTACGTTATCATTCTTGATCTGCTGGCAGCACTTGTTTTCCTGAGGCTACAGAGCAGAGAAGGGACAGAAGGCATATAATGAAAATGGGGGAAATGCGTGACAAAAGGAAGGCAAGCCCTACCAGATCATGCAGTGTTGTGCTGGCTGTACTGGGGTGGGTGGGGATGGGATGACCTGAGCCCCGAAAGCATCAACTTCCACTTGGCAGGTAGAGTTCAGGTTCTTGGCAGGGCTGACTTGTCTCCGATAAGGGTGTGTTTTGGGGCTGGTTAGGTTCTGCTTTTTTTTTTTTAAATTTAAATGTTGTTCCTTGAACCTGGGTTTAGAAATACAACCCCTGCTTCCACAATGGTGTTTCATGCTTATGCTTCAGTTACTTCTTTATAGCAATTCTGTTATCTTGTTTGGCATCTCTTAAACATAATCTGTCTGAGTTGGCATATTGCATGAATTTTCCCTCTGAAGGGCAAATGCTTGGGGTTTTTCAGTTTTAGATGCCATCAGGCAGTGAAATGAGGTTTGTCAAATATGTAGATGTGTCTTCAGGATGAAGAGCACGTGTTTGGTTCCTGATTTGGGCACCGCAAATTTCAGTACCCTCTGGAAGTGAGACTCGGGATTGGCTCACTGTGAAAACTGGGGATGGTAGGAAAGCTAAAACAGAGGTTAAATGTGATTGTGCTGAGATTGAGAGTTAAATACAAAGTATGCAGGTTAGCTTTCTTGTGACCAGCTCAGCTATTTATTAAAAGGAAAGGACCTTCCCCTGGTGCATTGAGGGGTGTCCCTGTGGTTTGGTCCAGCCAGCAGCAAGACCTTTCCTTAGCTGATGGCTGCTGGGCACCAGCCTCTTGGAGAAGCATTAGCAGGATCCAGAGCATTCAACTCAGTAACCACTGCTATGGTGCCTTATCCAGCAAGCAGCAGCAGGGTTTGAGCCCAGTGCAGTTAAATTGTGTTTGCTGTATGGTAATTTGATTTGCTGTTTCTCTGGATCTATTTATTGCCTGAGATGAAACACAGGCAGCTTCATCCTGGCTGATCAGAAACACTTGATGTGTAGGGTCCTTCAGATTGGCCCTTACAGAACATTCTCTCTCGCTGTGCAGATGCCCAGCTCCTGGCTCCATCCCCCGCCAGAGGCCAGGAGGTGAAATGCACATTCACGTTCCTCCCTCTTGTTCCAGTGCGTGGTCTGCAAAGCTGCTGCTCTTCTGTCTCCCTTCTGAGCAGAATCAACCATTCTGGATGCTGTGCGGCAGCAGAGCTTTGCCCACGTCGCTGTGTTTATCTTGCTCAGTTATCAAACAGCTGTCTAGAATACCACAGGGAGGAGCAGATCCGGCTGTCCATCGATGTCTTCACCTCGTATGAGTGTTTGATGGACTCAACTTGTTTGAATTTGGTTTCAGCAGGAACAAGATGAGGCTTTCATGATTAATAGGCAGGGCAGAGTGAAAACATTCACTGATGGTTCCTTGCCTGACCTGCTGTTGACAAAGGCTGACCCAGGGAACTTGCCTTTGTAGCTGAGCTGCAAAGAGAAAAAGCTGTTAAACACCAGGTTTAAAACAGCACCCAGGTCTCCAAAAGCAACAGGGTATCCTCTTATGGAGAAAAAGTAGAAATCATGTAACAGCATCAAACGTTTGCTCGGCTATTTAATATGTGAATGTTTGCTCTTTCTTGCAGTCACCTTTGACCATTTTGAGATATTGAGAGCTATTGGGAAGGGCAGCTTCGGAAAAGTAAGTATTTTGTGAACTAATCACCGTTTGGACAGCTGGGAATGTAATAGATTGAGAAATGGGTGAATTAGAGGCTCATGTGAGAGTAAAGAAATAAACCCCTGCACTGGCAATGAGCTTTGACCGGAGCTTCAACTCCTGGTAATCAAGAGGGAAACAGAGCCCAATTCCTCATCCACACTGTAGCCACCATCTCTATTACAGGAGATTAAAATGGGAAACTGACAAATCAAATGAGCTGACTTTCAGTATGCTTCTGGATAAGCGTTTTCTGAGGTTCCCCTTCAAATCAACACTGAACATCATGATGCAGCTTTAATAAAGAACTACAGTCAACATGAAAGACTGGCAATTTTAAGAGGGTATTTCTGTGAAACTCAGAGTTTGCTGTTAAGCATCAGGTTACGGTCATGCATTTTATTTTAATGCTGTTAAGGAATTGCCCACTTGCATACGCCGACAGAGTTCTAGAAAGTCATTTACCACCTCCTGTAAAGGCACACTCTGCCAGGAATGGGGTATGTGCTTTAGGTACAGAGTGTGACAGAAATCTCTAGACAGATTTACTTGGTGGTTGAAAGAAACTTTGCATCCCAAACTCAAAGCGTTACGGAAACAAGTCTGGAAAACTGGTCTGTTTTGTTTTACTCAGACAAACCCCAAGTCTTCCCTTGAACCAAGGTTTCTTTCAGGAATTGATAAAATACAACTAAAGAAAGATTAAAATTCAAAACCCAATAACCTCAAACAAAGCTTGAGGTTCATTGTGAGCTGAATGAAGCTTACCAAGAAGGTGCTGCTCCCCAGTTTCTAACCTGAAGTTCTGTGATGGAAAGGACTTGTCCGAACAGTAACTGATGTGGGAAGGATAGACGTGACCAAGATTATACAGTGCTGTTAAATAAAACATTGACTTGTGTGCAATTCCCTGTCTCCTGTCTTTGTGGTGACAAATTCTTTCCCCTCACCTTCCCATCATCAACGTTTCTTTGGCTGAAAACTGGGTGAGAAATTTACTTGTGAGCTCCAGGGTTGCAGTGTCAGCATGTGGAGCTGTGAATTTGGCAGCGTGGACTTTGCTAAAGCCCATGGAGAACACCCATGTGACTGCCTAAATCTACTGAGAACTCATCTCTGCTTTATCTCTCTGTTTGCTCACTTAGGTCTGTGTTGTGCAAAAGAACGACACCAAGAAGATGTATGCCATGAAATATATGAATAAACAGAAGTGCGTGGAGCGTAATGAAGTGAGAAACGTTTTCAAGGAGCTGCAGATTATGCAGGGCCTGGAACACCCTTTCCTGGTTAATTTATGGTAAGATACTGCTCATTTGCTTGCTGGCTAAGTCAGTGTGGTCAGTTAGAGATAGATGTCTTTGAGACCTGACTTGCACATTTCTGTGCTCTGGACAAGGCACGTCCTGCACCGTGGCTCGGTCCCATGAGGCTCCTCAGCTGTTCCACTGACTGGGACTCTGTTCTTAGAGGAATCTCATTTAATTAAACAAGAAGTTATCTCCCCTGACCCCCCAGACAAGCACAGGAGAGTTTATTCATGTGTTCCCTTGTGGTTTCTTCCGAGGCAGGCATTGCTTGTGACCATAACCCACTGTTATTTAATTGTGCTCTTTACAACAAGCAGCAGCTCCCAGGACCATGCAGTAAGAGCACAGGGTCAATAGCCAAGCAGTGCTTTCTTCTCATCACCTCCCGATTCTGATTTTGTGATTTGTTTTGTGCTTTAAACAGCCTTCCTTAATACCTTATTGATATTTGACTGAGCTTCTGCTTATCAGCAAAGATAAAAGCAATTTATCAGTGAATTTACTGACAGACAATACCATTCAAATTCTATTGCAGAAACCCAAATAGCTATTAGGGAAATGTGTGTGTAAAAAAGTCTCCTTCCTTCAAGAGTACCTGATAAATGCAACGTACACACTCTGGTAATAGTCCTTTTTCAACCATTAGCAATGGGATTGACCATCTGAGTGATAAAAGATGCTCTAATTCTTCCCCCTCTGATTCAGCATGTTTTGGGGCAGTAGAAAGGAATTTTAAATAACTCTATTACTGTTACTCTGCCAGGTTGATTTTATTAGGACACCAGTAATATTTCAAGTGGTGTGGTCTCATACAGCACACGACGCAGTGGCAAATACACTGTAGTTACAGGATCGCTCTGGGGTGGTGGGGAATTACATTTATTGGATATTGGATTTATTTTTAGAAGGAGGTAGAACTTATCAATGCTAAACACAAAATGTGAGGCTAAACCACACTGAAGATCACAAATCTTAAATAACTTAATGTTCCTTTTTGCAGCCTCCTGAAACCTGAATGCTCTTTGGTCAACTCTCGTGATTTTGATAGTATGGCCATTCAGTGTTGTTCTAACCAGGGTATAAATGAGAACCATGTATCTAGACCTCCCAGAGCCTTGGACATAGCTCCAAACCTTGCACTCCTACTTGAACAAGCAGTTCCAGGCAAAACAGAGCAGCTGAGAACTAAACAACATATGGGTAGACCTTCACAGAGCAAATCAGCTGAATGTCCCTACTTTCATGTTGCTTCTGGCTTAGGGATGCCTTTAGCATTTCCTTTGCTTTCCTGCACTCTGAATGGTACATGCACTATAAGCTTTGTGTGGAGTAATACTTTGTTTCTCTGATGCTGCTCATCACATGAAGATGCTCATGCATTGTGAGAGGAAATCCATGAGAAAAAAGCTCATAGCCAGTCGCTGCCTCAGAGGGACACTTGGTGAACAGTTGCATCAAGTGAGGTCACTTAAAGAGGAACATCAGAGAGCAGCAGCTGCATCCCCTACTGTGTGGAGCCAATGGTTTTATTGACTGTTATGGATCTGAAGCTAAATTATGGTCATCTCAGGTATGCCAGTAGGAGCTTAGTTGCAACAGGAAAGGGAGCATGGAAAGGTCATGAAATTATTATTTCCCAATTGAAAAAGTTCCAAGAAATGATGAGTATTCCCAGGGGTACCATATGTCTCATTATAACCTCTCTTTTTTCAGTATACTTTAACCATGCTTACACCATTCTAGGTACTCATTCCAGGATGAAGAAGATATGTTTATGGTGGTAGACCTGCTGCTTGGAGGGGACCTGCGATACCACCTCCAGCAGAATGTGCGGTTCCAAGAAGGCACCGTGAAGCTCTTCATCTGTGAGCTGGTGCTGGCCCTCGACTATCTCCAGAGCAGGCACATCATCCACAGGTCAGCTGGGGACCTCGGAGGAGGGCTGGTGCTCGTAGGCTGAATGTTTCTGTGTAAAACACCATGTTTCCCAGCGAAATGAGCTGTAGCTCATTAACATCTGTCCTGGTCCAGGGTGAGTAGGCATCAGCATTCAGAATTCCCCTATTATTACATTCATAGGTATTTGCCTTTTGCTCCTCTCTCTGTACCACACAGAAAGACAAGGAATGAGACCAAACATGGCAGTTCTCTGTATGAGGTTAATCCCTTTCTAGAAATGGTGAGAGTTTCTTTTTGGTCACCAAGATTTTTTATGGCCAGTGAAAGAGTATTTGAGCTCTCCCCACACAGTGGGAGACCTACAGAGTAACAGGGGAGGTAGAGCTTTTCCCTGGTTGGAGAGGCAGGGTCAGCTCTGGATGGACGGATGGATGTGCAACTGCTTCCTGCTGGTGAACTGGGCCATGCAAACCTCAGGGATCCTCCATATTTTGACTTGGTGGCTGCAAACAGGGAGTGTAAAGAGGGAGTGACCAGCAGGGGGTTAGTAAAGATGGGAAGAAGATTATCCCATTTAAAAGTACCACTTTAGAAGCGCAGCTCCTGGTTTCTCAGGGGTCCCACATCCCGTGCTGCTGGCTTGCTCTGTACCTGTGCAGATCTCTACCCTGATGCACCTGATCCCAGCGTCCCAGCCGCCCTCAGATGTGCTCCGGTGTGTGGCGACAGGTACGTCGTGCTGGCACCTGCTCACCCACACCAAATAATGCATGAGCATGAATTACACACCATGAAATGCAGCCTCGCTGTCTCTGTCCTGGGCAGTGAGGGGTAAATTCTGCTGCTGGCTTGGCCTGAACTATTTGAGTGGGGCACAGGCATGAGGAAGAACAGAGAAGAAATCCTTCTCTGTTAGTAATACATCACAAGTAGTAGTACTGTTTATAGGACTCAAGGGCTAGAGGCTCAATGTTGTAAGAATAAGTCTGAAGGATGATGATGATAATGATGATCATCATAATGATGAATGACAAGATAGCTACAGGAGCACAGGGTGCCTGGGGCTGCAGTCCCCTTTCCAAGCTGTAAACATAGGTGGGGAAAAGCTAAAGTTCAGGCTGCAGTGTGTACTTCAAGCAGCCCTACATGTTTAAGGCGAATCAAGCACAACAAAACATGCATGGCAGTTGGTCAAATTTGCAAATTATTTGATTAACACTGAGTGCAAGTTGTTTAATTACCACTGTGACCCAGTGGGACAGGGGTAGGTTGATAAAGTGACTGTGCTGAGTCAGTTGAGCTGCAACATCTGTAATGAGGAGACAGGCAAGTGTTTGCTTGTTTTGTCTGAACAAAGCTGTGCAGAGACAGCAAACACAGACCGATGGTTGGAATTATTTCCCACGTGCATGCAGAAGAGTGGTAGGAAATGGCGTAATTAGTTCATGAAAAACAAATAATCAATAAACAAAACTATCCCTGTTCATTGTTTGCATCATGGGAAGGATCTCGCTGTGCCGGTGCAAGTCCATAGGCTTCGCACCAGACTGAGTTCAGAAAAGGCCCCAGTGAAAAGAAAAACAATATTAAGAAAAGATCGAAAGCTGGATTAGAAACGAAAACCTTTGTGGTTCATTTCAAAACTTCAAACATGCTTTTCTACCAGGGGATTCAAAGAACCCATTTTTTTTCCAAACCCTGTTTGCTGAAACATTTCCTAAAGCTGTTGCTTAAGTCGGTGTTTTCTCCCAAGCGTGGCATCCCCATTTTTCACAGTCAGATATGGAGCTTCCTTCCCTCTGGGCTGTTTGGCTCTAACCTGAGGCAGTTTTGCTGCACTGACAAGGAAAACCAGCTGCATACCTGAGGCCACCTGAACTCCTGATAAAGACTCTGGTCCCTGTGCTTACCTGTGTGCTGGGGGTGGCACAAGGGAGGGGACTGGCATTTAGAGCCCACTGGAGCAGTTTTGGTGAGAAGATACCAGAGAACAGAAACGGTGAGATGCCTTTTCCTGGTTCCAGGGGGGTGGGTGAGTTCAAACTCTATCTCAGTGACTGCATTCTTAAAGATAAGATCCTAAACCTGCTCATTTCCTTCCTCTGGGCTGGCAGGGCATCAGGGCAGTGCAGGGTCTGCGTCTGCCCCATGCATGGTGCTTGGCTGCCAGGTGCCTGAGGGCAGGTGAATGGGAACTGATGTAATGAGCTCATTAAAACCAGGTAATGTCTTGTAAAGTCACTCAGGTGGATACAGTAGGCATATCAGGTATACACGTTGTCCCTTCAAGCGAAAGCATTGCAATAGGTATTATTACTTCGGGTTTTCTTTGTTGGTTGTTTTTAACAAAACCTGTGGGGACCCATGTGTTTCTAAGCAAAGATGTTGAAATAATTGCATTTTTATTTAATAAATGGGGAACATACAGTACTGAAAGAGATTACAAAGTTAACAGGAGAGGAAAGAGAAAAAGAAGCTCCAACATTGTCAGTGGACTGCCTGAGTGCTGCTAGTCCGAACCACAGCAGCCATCACAGCCATAGCCTTGAACCACCCCTCTGCTTCTGCTCTTTGGTTAGCTGTTCTCTTATGCCCAAATCAAACCCTGCAGGAATATCAGAGCTGAAGAGCCCCAGCAAAGGCACCTTCTCAGGCACAATGTCCCTGGAAGTGAGCCCCTCTGGAGCCTGGGCTTTCCTAAAGCATCTGCAGCCGTGTTCCATGTCACTTCCTTAGGCTAATGGCTGTCTCTCCTCTGCCTTTTCTCTTAGAGACATCAAGCCTGACAACATTTTACTGGATGAGCATGGTAAGTGTCACTTGCTTTGTGGTCGTGCATTCAGAACCAGGACATCCAAGGTGAAGTCCAGGTTGTCAATTTTCCTAACTTTGTGTTGCTTAGTCTCAGCTCAGACAGGACCAGGACCATCCTTCCATGCTTTGGTTGTTGTCTTTTGCTTTTTGAGTGGCAGCATCTTGTACCTTCATGGCACTAGGCACCCTGTGATGCAGTGATGTTTATGAGGGTGCCTCAGAGTTTCGTCCACACCTCCTCAGACTGATTGACCTGACAGCGTCCCAGGACCAACGCTTTTTGTGTGCCTGCGGTCAGTTGCCTTGCAGACCTTATTTTAAGACCTTCATGGCTCTTGCTTTAAACTTCCTCAAAATATAATCATTTTAATGGAAATGCTCATGTAATTGCAGGCTGGGTGTGATGTAGACTCACAAATAGAATGAATCATGGCTGAACAGATAATCCTTTTCAGGTATTCAGATTCAGGTATTTTCTTTTTCCTTGAGCATCTGACATTGGGAGGGAGCTCCAAAGAGGATCTGAGGCAGGGGATGTAAGAGATGTTGTTTTATTTTCCCCTTTAGCCTTAGTTTAGGAATGTCATCGCTTCAGAGGCTGTGATGGAGATGCTGAAGCTCCCGAGGAGCGGCTGCGGCTGCCGCGTGTGACCAGGGTTGCCCGGCAGCGCCCGAGCCCGAGCTCTCCCCCTCTCTCCTCCGCGCTGGCTCATGATTTATTGAGGAGCCGTCAGCCGAGCTGCGCCCGGCCTCGCTGCCGCCCCGTGCACGGACCCGGCCCGGTGCCGGGCCAGCCCCAGCCGCGGGTGCTCTGTCACCATCTCCCGAGAGCCTCTGTGCCCCACAGGAAGGGGGGGACAGGCCACCCGGGAGGGTTCTGGGAGCACTAGAACCGCAGAAACATAGGTCAGCATTCCCAAAGGGGGAAAAAACAAGAGGCTTGTCTTTGCAGTTGCATTCAGCTCAGCAGGATGTAACCTGCAAATTTCTGTAATGACTGCAATTTAGGCTGATTTTGAGTTTATTCCCTGCTTACTGTGACGGTTTAACTGTCTGCTGCAGAGGTTTCAGTTATTTTGTGTGGATTTACCCCTGACTTCAGTGTCCTTCTGACTATGACTTGTAGTATTTCTCTTCTTCATTCATGGCAACAAAGGTGCATCCTCTCATGCATACAGAAAGCTTTGTGTACACACAATTCAATTTTTTTCTTGTCCCCACAGCAACTGTTATTGTGACATTTTCATCTGTAGTTAGCCTGGATTGTGCTTGTTTTCCAGCTTCTCTTTCCCCATGGAGCAGAGCTGCAGCTCCCCATTCTCTCTTCAGCATTCACCAGGTTTTCACAACTGATGTTTTGTGATCACAAAACGCATGCTATCTGCCAACATCAGTTCTTTATAATGTTCTTGATTGAGGCCGGTCCCCAGGGAGTATTTAAGCGCCTGAAGACCTTCAGCAGTCAGACTTCAGCCCTTCACTTTTAGATTCTTCTTGACCCCAACTCTGTCCTTTGGCTCTTCCTCCTTTCCAGCTGTGAAGTACCTCTGCAGCTGAGACTCCTGTGTCATGAACTTGGCACACATCTCATGCCTTTGCCTCTGTCACCCTGTTTGGTGACATTCTGTATTAGCATAGCACTTTCAGCTAAGAAATTAAAATGAGGCATAAATAAAGTGGAATAGTGGGCAGCTGTCTTTCTGTGCAATAAATAAAGCAATTGTTCAACATCAGCAATTGGGATCAGGTCCCACAGTGAAAAATCCTCAGCTGCTGACCACCTTCAGCGGTCATTCCAAGCACAAAGTGACTTTCTCCTGTGATGAGCAGTCGATTTGGCTCAGTGACAGCACAGCTCACCTGGGAATAAAAGAATATAACAGATGGCAGTTTCCAAGAATTGTGACTATTTCATCAGCAGGTTTTGGCCATGTCACTTGCCTAATAAAGCTGGAGAAAAGCTCAAACTAAAACTGAGAGGTTTTTTTGTTTGTTTGTCTGTTTTTTGCCAGAGCCCTATAATGCCTTCGCTCAGTATTATTTCTTGAGGGCAGTGCTAAAATGGATGAGTTCCTGCCAACGCAGGCACTGCAGGCACAGCTCATTTGCTCTCATCTAAGAATGTTACAGAACAGTTTGTCCAAGAGCCTCCATACTCCACAGCTCCTAATGCCTCTGTTTCCATATTCCTTAAAATATTACCTTAGTTGAATCTGCAGCAGCTTTGTATTTTTTGTTCAAAAGATGATCTGGAAAGATGACGGAATTATGTAGTAAGTGGTGCTGAATATAATGAGAAAGTTCTTTGCCTCAATGTAGAACCACAGGCTTGATCCGAAAGCTTCAGGCAGACAGGATGAGCTTGGGAAGGATGCCGTGCCTGGAGCACAGCTCTGGCTGCACTCAGAGGTGCTGAGCACTCAGGAAAACATGAGCCTTAAGCCCTGACTCTGAACGCCCGCAGAGGCGCCCATCGCACCCCTCAGCCCTCCCGCTCCACAGCGCCGCAGTCGCAGCTCCGCCTGCTCGCACCGTCTGCAGCCTCCCTGCTCGGCCCCAGCGGCTTGGTTTGGTCAATTCCCAAGTGAGCTGGTTCATAAAACGTGTGATTTATTTGAAGTTGATAGTTTAAAAGAGACATCCAGAGAAAGGCATGTTTGTGCTTGGAATAGCAAATTCTTTACAAGTCTTTGTGATTCATCTGTATGAAAACAGCTCCCCACGATGTGGAATGAGAGCTAGAGATGAAAGGAAACAATGCAAGGACAGAGAGGACACATCCAGCCAGGACAGTTGTGTATCATTCTTTCCTCTCAAGTACTCCCTAGTGATTGCTACCTGCTCTTTAGCAGCAGACGGCTTAAGCAAGAAGGAGGGACATGTGCCCTGACAGATCCGTCAGATACCATGTGAGAGGTGAGCCCTGACAGCGTTTTTAGGTGAAATCATGAATTTAACTTTTATTCCCCAGATTTTCCCCACCTAGATCAGGTATTTGCAGCATGGAAACCTGTATCACTATTCTTGAATAACACATGTGTAGGCACAAACCCAAAGATTTACTTAAATGCTTCATAGCATCCAGAAGAGACAGCAGGAGTTCATTGGCAAAGCAGCAACTTTCAGACACATAAAGGTGATCTTATTCTATTTACCTCATGAACTAAAAAGAGTGAATTTCTAGCTGTTGAAGCTAACAACTGGGGGCAGTGTTGTAGCATCTCGGTCAGTAGAAGCCACTTTAATTTGATCTCCGTGGTTAGAGAAAATGAGCAATTCAGCCACTCTCTGTTATTGCAGAGGAAGACAATGACTCTGCAAAACACCAGGTACAAAAGACCTGATGTTTTGATAATGAGCCCACCTTTGTCAGGGTGAGCAAGTTCAGTGCCTGGGAGGATGATGAGGTCTGGAAGAACAAACCACCTGCATCTGATCAGAAGAACTGGGCTGAACTAACCCACAAGTTTCAGTGAAGTGAAGCCAGCCTTACACTGATCACCTGCCCTGCTCTGCATGATTGCTATGCTCACTGATGTGAGTTTAGGGAATAAGGAACAATAATTTAAGTGCTTGGAAAAAATAAGTGGAAGTAGAAGAGCAGGCGAGAGCTAGGTGGAAGCGTTTCCCTTCTCATCCCTGCAGATCACATCCACCTCCTATTTCCTTTCCTGTTTCCAGGTAGCAGTGACAGCAGAAACTGTTCCTACACCCAGTGGAGGGTTTGATGATGTTTAAATTTCTGGCACAAGGCTCTTCTGCTTGGAGCAAAAGCATCTGTTTCATTGCAGAGACATCCTCTAAAGATGAGAACGGAGAGTGCTTAGTACCTGGGAACCCCAAAGGGCAGTAGGTAGAAAGCCAAAAATATCAAGGATTTTTTTCCCCTCCCTCAAAAGCATGATGGAAATTTTTCTTTGTGACGTCAGTCCCCCCCCCCCCCCCCCCCCCCGATTTAGGAAGCCTCAAACCAATCATCATTTAACAGCTTCTTGGAGAACTCCATTGTTTTGCTCCCCAAAAGGTAGCTACGGGGATATCTGATGTAACCAGACACATCTGTGAGCTGCCTCCTGCAAGCTGAAACACACCAGTTCTTCCACCAAAATATTTTGCTCCTGGAAACTCTTTTCCATGGAGTATTTCATTTAAAGATTGATTCAAAGCTGTTCATCCTGTGAAATTAAAGCTAATCAAGTAAGACATTAACCTCTGTCTTTCAGGACACGTGCACATCACTGATTTCAATATTGCCACAATGCTGACTAAAGAAATAAAAGTCACCACCATCGCTGGCACAAAGCCTTACATGGGTAAGAACCACTGACAATTGGGTGTTCTTCAGTTGCCATTTTATGGCCTTCATTTGGCAGCTGTGGTAGGAAACGGGTCAAGTCCTTTTTGGTGGGAGCTCAAACTCTCTTTTCCCCCTAGTATGTAGCAAAAATGCACTTATTGGAAGTGAGAAACAAGCTCAAGAGGTGCTGCAGGGCAACGGGACAGGACTCCCTCCCCAGTAACACCCTGATGCAGCTGGAAAACATGCGTACACCTACTGATTGCATACAACAATGCAAGCTGCTAACATAGATTTTAGAGCCACTGTGTCATACTGACAGCATGGTTTTGATTACAACAGAAGACAGTTGCACTTGTGAGATCTCAGAGCATTTCACAAGCAGCAGTCAAGCCATGTAATGATGGTGCAATGCTCTTGCTGCCCTTGCAAAGGAAAAGGAAGCACAGAGGCTTGTATTTGGTCCCTCAGTACGCTAGCACAAGTCTTACACTGCTGCATCACTAGTGATAATTTGAAGTTTTATATAAACTGGCTGCTTTAAAAACTAGCATTACACTGGTCAGACCAAGCGGTGGAAGTAGGACTTGCTGAGCTCCCAAGCCACAGCATCGCTCAGCATGCAGGGAGGACCCATGTCCTAGTGTCAGGCTGCCACAGCAGAGAGCACTGCTAGCACCAGGGAGAGATGGGTGAGGCTTTAGCTCTAACCTGTACCCCAAGGACAGCAGCAGGACAGGAGGGCAATCCTGGGGTAAACTGACTCTGGAGCGGGTGGATGCCTCCATGGCAGCCTCTGGCCAGCTGCAGGAACAGTTTTCATAAGCAAATCAGCACCCACAGAGCGCTCGCTCCCGGTGCGGACCTTGTCTTCCTGGTACTCCAAATGTGCATTTTTCTTTTCCACTTTTTGAGAGGAACACAGAAAACTGACTTACGGTCACTTACTGTCTAAATCAGCAAAGCAGCTGACTTTAAATCAGCAAGAGCCCCACTTAATACTTTTTACACAAGCACAGTTAATAAGCATAAAGCAAAGTAACACTGACATAACCTGGGAGGAATCAGGGCTGGAGAAGGCAGGTAATGAGCCAGAGAGGAACTCTGAGCTGAGGCTGAATGAAGCTGTGCAAACACAACACAGAAAGGTCTCTGCAACTGTAAAGTGAAGTTTTCTAACTAAAGCAAAAGCACTCAAAACCATCTCTACACAACTAACACAACTGCTCCCACAGAAGTTACACACTTTCACATGCAGCAATACTGCCTCTGAGAGCTGAGTAACAGAAAACACATCCTCCCTGCAGCTACTACATAGCTGAATCCCTCGGGGCAATCTCCTGGGAATCCCTTTTTATCCAATGACCAAGCTGACCTCCCACCTTTGCATCACAGGTGCAGTCCTTTTAAAAAGGAAACATGCACTAATGAAGGCTTTGCTCTTGGTCTGGGGTTTTTTAGAGCAAGTCTTGCCTCCATCTCACATCAAAATCCTATTGCATTTTTTCCCCTTACTGTGAAAAGGCAAATTTATTGGCTAACCCCCCCATTTCATCCTGTGCCTCCACCCCCTCCCTATCAGCAGGCACAGAGGAGCCAGAACACTGCCTTTGAACACAGGGGAAGGTGTTCCGTGCCGTGCCGTGGTCAGTCAGCAGGGTCACGTTTTCAAGGTGTATGTGTTCCCACGGCAGGCAAGTGTCTGGGCTAAGCTGGCGTCCCGGGTGCTGGGTCAGGCTGGCTCGCACCGAGACAGCCCTCGGTGCCAGGCAGGACTGGGGCCGGTGGGAGCAGCGGCTGCGCGGCACACGGCGGGGTGGGAGATCCGGGGCTTTGCACCCATGGGTGTCAGCTCTTCACACTGCGGCACCTCGGCTGGGACGTTTCTGCACTGCAAGGCTGGGACAGCAGCAGAGGAGCCTGACACGCTCGGCAGGTGAATTGCTGCAGGGACACGTGTGTGTTCTGATCGGGGTCCACCTCCGTGCTGTTCCGTGCAGGACTGTGCCACCAGCGCTGCCCCTCTTTTGAACTAAAAAGCAGCAAAGATGTGGTGAAGGGAAATGTGTGAATTTGTGTCCTGGTAGAACCGCAGGGCTGCTCCCTGGGGCACACACCAGGCGTTCTGGTGCCTCACCTGAGACATCAGCAAGGCAAACTTTCCTTTTTCTGTGCTCTGCAGCACCTGAGATGTTTAACTCCACAAAACCCACTGGCTACTCCTTCGCTGTGGACTGGTGGTCACTGGGGATCACGGCCTATGAGCTGCTCCGGACCCGGGTATTGTGCATGCAGCTCCTGTCTCCATCCATCCATCCATCCATCCATCCATCCATCCATCCATCCATCCATCCATCCCTCCCTCCCTCCCTCCCTCACTCACTCCCTGCGTTCCTCCCTTCCTCCCTTTCCTTAAACACTCTGTTGGAAAGGTTAATGCTTTAGAACAGGGATGAAAGACCCAAGGCAAATTCCAGGCTTTCAGGGTTATCAAGCTATAGGAAACAGAACCACGTCTTCACCAGGGTTCCTGTGATCACAGCTAAGAGCTCAGAGGAGCTGTCGCGATACAGAATAGCATGGCACAACAGCTCCCTGCTGCACTCAAGGCCTCTGAGTTGATGTAAGCTGGGCAAGGCAAACGAGCAACAACTCTTCTAGTCTGGGCTGCAGTATAATTTACTTTGAGCTCCCATCCTGCAGGAAAAAAACACTTGGAAAACAAATCTCATTGCTGTTGTAATAAGATTGAGCAGTTTGAGCAAAAGCAAGCTGCAACATGTAAATTAATCAGAACAATCCCTGCCTGCCATGTCAGTGCTCTGCTGTTAGCTCTGGTAAGGTTGGGAGCTGCGTAGGCAGATGATGAGATTTGCGGGTTGGAAGTGCTGTGTGAAAAAAGAGGGACAGAATTATTCAAATTGCATTCTTCTAAGCAAAATGTGTTTAAAATCGTGTGAGGATAGGAAACTGCTTCGAGTCCAGCTATGTAGAATAAGCTTTTAAGAAACGCTGTCATCAGTCTTTGCAGAACGCTTTATTAAATGCCTTGATTAATATATTTTAAAGAACAGATTTTCAAATGGTGAGTGATCAAGTTAGCGAACATGAAGGGGACGCTGCTGCCTGACCTGTTGGGTAATGGAGGCAGTGTGCCCCTGTGAACATACTAACATAACACTTGAGTTTTCCATTTGTAATGTTAAGTGAACGGCAGGACTGTTCATCACATCGATTTTTGACTCGATGGCCCTGTTTTCAGGGATGGGAGCAGAAGTGCTGGTTTGGGTTTTGCCTCCCTCCTGTCCTGCTGTTTAAGTATCTGGCTGTTGTCACAGTTCTTGCTGACATTATTCTGTTTATTTCAACTGTGCTGCGATCACACAGGGAGAGACTTTCAATGGGAGGATGGGGAATCTACAAGGAGGCTTCATTTGAAGCTTCTTTGCTCTAAAAAAGACTTCCCCAGGGGTCTGAAAACCCAGATGAATTAAAATGCTTTCTTGGTGGCACTTTTCCCAGAGGCCGTATCACATTCGCTCCAACACTTCCACAGACGAAATTGCTCACGTGTTCAGGACGGCCACAGTGATGTACCCTGCGGCGTGGTCCACGGACATGGTGTTGCTCATCAAAAAGGTGAGGGCAGCGTGGGAGTGGAGGGCTCAGGGCTGCCTGTATCTGGGCACTGAGCCCTTCATCGTGCTTTGTAGCCTTTGCAGTCATTGCAAACTGTGTCCAGACCCAGTGCTGGAGACCTTCAGGTGGTAAATGTCCAGCTTCTCATGCTGCAGCTGCACTAATACAGTAACCAGCTGGCAGTGCTGCATCCCGCACTGACAGGGATGGAGTCTGTGCTGACAGGCATGACTGCTGCTAATGTGGTTCCTCTAAGGACACAGGCAGACTTTGGTTTCACTGTTTCTCCTATAAGTTTGTCTCTCTGGAATGACATACCATAAAATAGATATTCACATATGTGTCAATAAATCTGGCAAAAAAAACCCTAACAACCCTGCCTTTTTTATTTAAAAAACTCCATATTTTTCCCAGTATTTAAAAGATTTGCAAGAAGTGCTGGTACTGTTGAAATCCTTTGGTGCCATGTGCTTTATGTACCACTGCAATTATTTTTTAATAAAGCTGCTATCATGAATTGCTTCAGAATCATTAGTAGAACCATTTTGAGGCTGGAATCATGTTTGAAGTGAAGCCACATCTTCAGTAAACAAAACTATGGCTTGACAGTGTCAGACACTGTTTGCTTACAGTGGCAGCAAAGCTGGAATAGTGAACTCAGCGTAACAGCATTAGCTGCAAGTTTTGGAAAGTACGTATATAGCTTTCTAATTTTCAAATGCAGGCCATGAAGTAGCACTTACTGCAGCTTTCATCTGACCTTTGGTCCGAATGTTTTGTAGAAATATTTTGTCATCTCTAATGAAATACTCTCAAACTTTTTCATGAAAATGAGACATCATTTCTTTGCTGAGACAGAACCATGGCATATTTTCCAAGAAGAGAATTGAAGAATATCTCCATTTGCTTAAAATTAAATGGAGCTAATATTTTATTAGGCTTAGCAGTAATACGGGGTATCTACTGCAGATGTCCTCTGTGTTGTTATGTTGGAAGCGTCTGCCCAGCCCATGACACACCACAAGCTGTACAGGCTCCCGTGTGAATGAATAATGCAATGCCTCAGTTATTTAGATTTCCAAGTGCCCCATGGCAGCGGGTTCAGCAGCCAGATGTGTTAGACATGAGCCAGCTGTGCTTCCGTCCCAGCTGTATTTGTTACCGTTCAAGGCAAGCTCTCACTTGCAGCAAAGCTGCATTGCGGGCGCTGGGACGGGAGCACGGGGCTCTGCAGAGAGCATGAACTGCAGGGACAGGAGCGCGGCGCTGACTGCCCGACCTGGCACAGGACAGGGGCTGGGGGCTCCTCATCCACCCCTTTCTGGGGGGTTTGGATCATCTGGGCTTCCTGCTACATCTCTGGAGTGTGTATTACCAGGAGTTTATGAAACCGAGTCCTTGAACAGAGACAAACCTCAATTATTTCCTTCCACACAAGTAATTCCTAGGGCAAAATAAGCTGCGTGAATGCATTATTTCACATGGGAATTACACTTATGAATATTCCATTACTAGAGTGAGAAAACAGAGGATGTTTACAGATACAGTATTAAATTTGGGATACAAAGGCATAACTTTAACTCCCCATTCTGAAACCTTTTTAACCTTGAACAAGCTGTTTCATGTCACTGCACTGCCTCATTGCTTGAAATGCAGATAAAAGTTGCTCATAAAGACAAGAGTTAAAGGCTGTGAGCCCCTCGCACATGCTGTTGAAGGGTATCTGAGCCAGAATAAGAGAGGAGGAACCAGTCAAAGCAGCAGCATTAATGCAGTGTCACCGGTGTCACTGAGCCCATCCAGCAGAGTGTCTGAGTGTCTGACCGGGAGGGCAGCGGGCTGCTGGACCCCAGCACAGTCTCTGATCTCCCACCTCAGGGCCTCACTCTCTCACCTCTTCTGTTTAATTCTCACTGCAGTTGCTTGAGCTGAACCCTGAGAAGCGTTTTTCTCAGCTGAAAGATATCCAGGACTTCCCGTATCTGTCAGACGTGAACTGGGATGCTGTTCTCCAGAAAAGGATAATGCCAGAATTCATTCCCATGGTAAGGAGCTGGACTTTTATAGGTGTTGCAGGCTGCAGTCTGTCCTCGCGCCAGGCACCAGGTCACAGGAGTTCTCACAGTTTTCCACAAGAGCATCAGATGCCACAAGGGATAGGGGATAGAGAGGCATGGGCAGGATTTCCACTTTCCTGTGTGTGTAATAAGGAGCAATGGGGACCGACTACAAAGTGCGGGTGCCCCAGAACTGATCTACTCTGTTTATAATATTCCCAGAATTTCTGGATGCAGAACTGGTCCGAGCAGGTGAAGCACACACTGACAGCCCTTGTGAGCAACCTGCGCTGAGCAGCCTTTCTTAGCTGCTTTGGACCTGCTCTGGGAATGCAAAGACCAATCACCAGACACAGGCTCCCGAGCAGCCTGGAGATCCCCCACCGGTTCAGGGCAATCGTTTCTTCCTGTGATGGCTCTCCTGAACAAGCCCCTTCTTTTTAGTAAAATTACAAGTGCAGTAGATTAGAGTTTCTGATCCTTTTTTAATTGGATTGAAAGCACAGAAGTAACATAACCCGTATAGAAAATAATCAGGCTGCGGGTGCAGAGTTACTCTGGTTTTCAGGCAAACAAAAGTTGGGCTAACTACGCACATTTGTTACGTGCATGTGTTTTCCCCCTTTGTAGCTGGTTTTCCCTGGGGTGGGTGCACATGCACTGCTTTAAAGCCAGGTCCGCAGGCTGCTGCTGCACTCCTCCCCAGCACAGACACACCACCCCTCACTTCAAAGCAGCTGAAAGGCAGAGCAGAAGCAGGGAGCACGAAGCAGTTATTGTCAGCCCTCGGCAGTGTGCCCTGGCTGAAGGGATGATGTGCAGTGGGTGCCATGTGTGTGCCGAACCGTGGGTTCAGCTCAGGTTTGCACAATTCAGCTCCTGGAGGCTGTCCACAGACTCTTCAGGATGGGCTCTGATCACTTCAGGGCACCTCTCCCCTCTCCAGAAAGGCAGACTCAACTGTGACCCAACCTTCGAACTGGAAGAAATGATCCTAGAATCAAAACCTCTTCACAAGAAAAAAAAGCGCTTGGCTAAGAAGGAGAAAGACACCAGCAGAAGCAATTCCTCCCAGGTGAGAGCGAGCAGGTACAAGCACGTGGTCAAGAAGTCTCTCATTTTCCAGTTAAGCTGATTGCCATGCAGCCAGATCACAGCAAACTGTATAAACAGACTGGTTTTTTTCCCTTGTGACCAACTTTATTCCCAAAACTCTTCCGCATCTTCCCTCTGGTGGAAGGCAGCACATGTACACATGGGTTTTGTATGAGGAGAATCTGAATGCCCTTCTCCCCACTGCAGTGCTAAAGACGCTTTTTATACCTAAATGCTTTTTATACCTAAAGATAAATATATTTATACGTAGATGCTTTTTATACCTGAAGATACTTATATTGCCTTGGAATTCTCCTTGTAATATCTTTCTGTGTCAGCTGTGAATCTGTTCCTCATCTCTCTATTTTTCTATTTGATTGTGAAAGGCCTGCCACCTGCAGAAGCACCTGGAGATGCTCCAGAGGGACTTCATTGTTTTCAACAGAGAAAAGTAAGTACTGGTGCAGAGGCAGCACAAGAGATCCTGTTCTTGCCAAAGCCTTTGACAGACCTGGCTTTGGGCTCTTGGTAAACGCTGCATGTGGGGCGGAGGCGCAGGGTACTGCTGGTCTGCCAGGACCCACGTGGCATTTCTGTGCTCGAGGTCCCAGCCTGCACTGAGTGCCCCATCTGTGTGGGCAGATGCTCAATGTGGGGGCTCAGGGCTGCAGGGCTCAGTGCAGCTCCTTGGGAAGGCACAGCCCGTGCCAGGGAACTGGATGCTCCCAGACAGTCACATCATGGTGTGGGCCATGGCACTGCCTGGGCTTTCCCCCACAGCAAAACCATCCCTTTCTCTCCCTAAGGGCAAGACACCACCACAACAACATCCAGGAGACCCTGACACTGGCAAAGAGCAAAGGCACGTACAAGGAGGACAACTAGAACAGCAACCCCTGAGCACACCTGCACACCTTCACCATGCTGGGACACCACTGCTGCCAGGACCCTGACCACTGCCTGGTGCCAGGTGGGAGTTGGGGCACCCACTTCCTCTGCTTCCACCCTACAGCCAGTGGATCCTGGGCATGGGGAGAGAGGCTGTGGGTGCTGCCCTTGTGACTTGCCACAGTCAGTTAGACTGAAATCCTGCTATTTTGCCTGTCTTGGTGGCAGGAATGCGACTGTGTGAAATGGATGAGACACTCTTCATTCAACCCATCCTTTGGGTTGGCTTGCCAGCATCACAGCCCTTGGTGCTGCCAGCAGCATGACGGAAGGGCCACGCGTGCACTGCCTGTAGAAGTGTCATCACTCCTATCACTCCTGGTGACAGCAGCATGGGTCCAGGTTCCGTGGAGGTTGGAAACCCACATCCTCACAGCCAGTTGCTCTCAGTGAAGGAAAGGTCACCCTCAGCTGCAGGGTCTCCACCGAAGGGTGGCCTTTGCTTACAGACACCTCCTGTGAGCACCCCACGTGTGGGCACCAGAGGGCTGGAAGTGAGGATCAGCTGGGAGGAGGCAGTGAAGGTTTCCCGTCCGTCTCCCCCTCTCCGTGCTGGTTCCTGTGCTCATTCCTCGCAGGTCAGGGCTGGTGTGCCGGCTGTCAGAGCATGCAGGCAGGGGTGGAAATGAAGAGGCAACAACCAGGCACTGGCAAATCACCAGGATCCAGATGCCTTTCCAGGTCAACCTGAAAAACCCATTTGCCATCATATGAAGCTGCTGCAACTCACTGAATCTAATGGGGTTCAGCTTCCAACACCAGAAGTGAATTGGAATGTGTGTTTTTATTCTCTTTACTATTTAAATCATGCTCAATTTAAGCAGCTACTATTTGCAGTAGCTGTACTCCTGGTGCAGTCACTGCCAGGACTGAGAATGGCCAAAGCATTTCTATTATGGTAATGCTGGGAAAGATGCCGTTATTTAAATGCTTTGGCAGACCTGAGGTTTCACCTCCTGATTTGCCATTTTTCCTATTTTCATCAATATAATGAATGCATGGGGAACCATTTGCCTCCCATTTACCCAACGGTGTTCTTTGTCACCCCTGTGCTTTCCTCTCTTTCTGTCTAAATCTGATCAACTCCAAAAAAAATCCGAATAAAACCAACAGCATAAGAAAGGCTCAGAAGCCAGTGTTACTCCTGAGGTCACTCGCATAGCAAGGCAGAAAGGGCAGAAAGCACACCTGCACCAGGGCAGGGCATCAGCCATCCGTGCAACTGACCACAGTGTCCTGTCTGCCTGTCCTGCCTCTGCCGCGGTACACAGCACCAAGCAACTCAGCCGTAGCTCCTGCCCAAAAATCAGCACCAGTTAAGTGTCTTCACTTTGTGGTCCCTCTGGTGGTGGGGTGTCCTGGAGTGGGGCAATGCTGGGGATCCCCTGCCCCACTCCCTGTGTGCTGGGAGCTCTGGTGTCTGCCTCTGAGCCTCCACCCCCCAGGACATACTGCGCTGCTCCCAGCCACAGCAGTCTCTAACAGAGATGTGAGTGGCAGGATGTGGTTGTAGGTCTTGGTGTTAACAGGCAGGGTACAGGGATGATGATGGCACAGCAATGAAAGCGTGTCCCCAAGGTCAAGGGGTCTTGTTCTGGCTTGTGCCATGCATCCTCTTCCTGAAATGGTGCCATGGCAGTACGTACCTTCACCGCTGCACAATGATGATACAAACCCCCCAGTTTTAGATGACTACAGCAGTTTCTTTTCTGCCATCACATGAGGGTGCGGGTGAGGGGACGCTGGTTCAGGGCTGCAGCACTCGCTATGCTGCGTGTCCTGTTGCCTCTATGCAGCCAACAAGTGCCCACAGGCACCGGGGCTGAGGTGTTGCAGCACCACCACCCTCATCCACAGCTGCAGCCTGGTTTCATCTGCTCAGGTCAGGCTCTTGGCATAGCCGCAGAACAGCACGTTTGTGTGTGCAGGGCTGGGAGCAGAGGCAGCAGCATCACTGTGCACTGCCAGCATGGAAACAACCGACCCGCAAAGTGCGACCCTCTTCTGTCCGGAGAGCTGCAAAGCTGGGCTTCACCAGTAAGTGGTTATTGGAGTCCTCAAAAGGGGTCATTGCAATGGGAAAGCAAAGTCACAGCACACCCCAATTGCTGTGTCTTCTCTTCTCCCTCTCCCCAGACATCCCTCTTTTGAAAGGGGCCTCCACCCTGGAAGTTCCCTGGGCAGCCTCCCCACTGATCCACAGTTCTTTGCCCAGTCCTACTCTGGGTCTGGGGCCAGGTGCGGTCCAAAGGGGCTGTGCCAACAGCCATACCTGTCCCCTGCTCAGCACACAGCTATCGCTGCCTTGCTCTGGAGCAGGTCACGGTTCATGCACTGTAAATGTGTTATCTGGAGCTCAGAGAAGGAAACTAGCCCTGCTCCTCACTGGGGGAAAGTCTGCTGCAGCATAAATCCTGTTGCAATGGCTGACAACAAAAAACCCCAAAACTCAAGTACTTAAATGGCAAGAAGATCGCAACTTTAAAAATCCCCAAAGACTCCTACAACCATCTCCCCTTTTCCCTCTTCCTCTGTAAACAGAGCCACATTCTCAGCTTAATCCCTACCAGGCAACAGGGAGAAATCTGTAATTGCTCGGTAGCAGAACTTCACAGAACTTGCAAGCATGAACAACTTTCCCCACCCCTGGAAAACTGTTCTGGCATGGACCCTTCAGGACTGCTGCATGGACAACTTGTCCTGTCTGAGCTCAGGCATGTAAAAATAAGTATTTCAAGGTCAACTACTTTAGGAAGAAAAAAAAAAAGAAAGAGTATTTATTTAGCACGGCCTGAATTGACTCTTCATTTTTTGTAATACTTCAAAAACAATCCAGGTTTTCCTGCATGCTTTGCAAGCTTCAGGAAGGCTGTGACCCTCAGTTTGATAAACACCACTCGGTAGAAGGGGAGCACGGCACTCACAGAAATCAGCCTCTGAGCCAGCCCCAGCTCCATGCTCAGGCAGGGCTGTGTGGGGCCGGGCTCTGTAACCACACAGTCACCACCACCATGGCCAGACAAACTGAACAGCCTGCTCCAAACACCCGACCCTGCTGGGCTGGACACTGCTTCTGCCCGGGCAGGCACACGAACACTGCCACAGTGAGCAGCACGCAAAGTGCCCCCGACAGCCTGTCCCAGCCCAGGCACTGCCCGAAGCGCCTCCTCAGCCCCACTGCCCAGCTCCCTGCCACCCCTGCCCAGCTGCAGCACCCTGAGCGAGGAAAAAGTCACCCAGCACCACGAGCTGTTTGAAGGAACGTTTTTTTCTTAATAAAGTGTACAAAGTAGTAAACGCCTTTGTGAGGCGCTGCAACAGCCCTTACAGATGACCCGGGCCCCCCGTGGGCCTTGTGGTGAAACGCCAACAAGCACTGGGTGGAGATGAAGGCCATGAACACAACACAGAGCCACCAGCTCCCATGAAACTGCCCTCCCCATCCCACACCCTGCCTGCGGCTGGCCCCTGCCTGGCCGGTTCACCCATGCCGTGCTGTTCCCACTGTCCGCACCACAGCACCCCACACGCGTTCAACACTAACAACACACTGACCCGAGCGACCTGTCTGAGCGGCATGCATACAGAGAGGAGGAGTGAAAACACAACTCGACCAAACCCACAACGACAACAACAGAATTTTAAGGCTATGCATAAAACAAAACAAAGCAATATCTTTAAAGCTAGGTAGGAAGTAGCATTTGTGAAACATAAGGCTTGAGGCTTATTGATTCTTCAGAACAGGTTTGTTTGCCTTTCCTTCTTAAACACCAATGTACCATTTTTCTTCCTTCGCTTGAACAGGGATTTCGCTTCCTTCTCGGCAGGGACATTTAACTCAGGGACGTGATGTTGGAGCGGCCTCCCGGGGGCGCCACGATGCGTTTGCTCGCGGAGCGAACGCCTTCATCAACCTGGGTACCTGGGAGAGGACAAGAAAGCACAAAGGCAAGGGAGAAAGCGAAGTTAAGAGCGTTTTCTTCCCTGGACTGAGCAGTCAGGCAGCCTGGGGTCTCACAGAAGTGCTTCCCGAGCCTGCCTACAGCAACCTGCTCCCTCTCCAACTCCAGTAACAACCGCAAGAGAACCAGTGGCTTCAACATCTCTGGAAACACCTCTGGGAACAGACCCACGCTGCAAGAGCAAGGTCTGAAGCTGTGCTGGCACCTCCGTGGCCACAGCCTGCCTCGCTTCTACTGCAAGGTGCAGCAGGGTGGAGGGTCAGCTCCAGCCATGTCCTTAAGGGGCACGCAGGGTCTGGTGCTGCCATGCTCCACCCTTGTGCTCAGCTTGCCCCAGGTCATCTCCCAGCTGCCTCCAGCCCCAGACCAGCAGCTCTGCGCTCTCCCAGCCCACCGCCACGCGTGTTCACCTGACAGGCTGAATCCAGACTGATGGAGGTTCCTGACAGGCGGGGTCTGCCGTGTGGGGGACCCCCTGGTTGACCCTGCAGGGGTGCCCCCCTTGGGGGTGGTGGTCAGGTCAAACACGGGTCCATCATACATGCCCCGGGGCACAGCGTGCATCTCTGCCATCTGTCACCAGAGAGAAGGCAGCAGTGACACTTCCCTGCTCCTGGGGAGCATCCTGCCACAGCAGTGCCATGCTCCAGTGATCCCTGGCCCCCCAGGTTCACACTGCCAGACCTGCGCCCCTCCATCCCGCACACCCAAGACCTCCCTGCAGTGCTGCGGTCCGGTGCAGCCCCAACACCCACCTCCTATGTGACAGCCTCCCTTCACTCCCACCCTGCAAGGTGTGCAGATCCTGGTGCAACAGGCGATCCCTCAGCACGGATTTGTGCTGTATGCATGGGAAAGGAGCAGGCCATTTTCCCAGTCTCTGGTTTTAACTCAGCACTTCTCTCCAGACTCCTGCAGCAGCAGGACAGCAACAAGGACAGGCATTGCCCACTCTCAACCCAGATGAGCATCTGCCTCCAGTGGGAGCCCTCCACCAGCACTAAGGTCAAAGCTATCTACCCAA